AATTAATTTGATAAGATGGTATATATAAAGTCCAGCCTCAGGGTTGTTTAAAATAATTTTATTGCGAGCTTTCGGTCCTATTACCAGAGCCTTAATCGGGCAACAATGCACTCAATGCAGTAGTTTAACGTAGAGAAAATTCCGTTTATAATTCTACATATTGTCACCCTCAGGTCACGTAATGCAAGCAGATTAGTATGATTTAATTTTGAAAGATCACAGGAGTTGAAGAGCGTCAAGATGGATTATTTGTTTGTTTGTTTTGAATTTCGCGCAAAGGTACACGAGGGCTATCTGCGCTAGCCGTCCATAATTTAGCAGTGTTAGATTAGAGGGAAGGCAGCTAGTCATCACCACCCACCGCCAACTCTTGGGCTACTCTTTTACCAACGAATAGTGGGATTGACCGTCACATTATAACGCCCCCACGGCATGTTTGGTGGGACGAGGATTCAAAACCGCGACCCTCAGATTGCGAGTCGAGTGCCCTAACCACCTGGCCATGCCGGACCGTCAAGATGGAAATAGAAAGACTTGTTAGTTGAAACAAAAAAACGATCGTCCAGTTTGTTTCTAAAATGTCTCCTTACATATATTTCTATGAAACTAAAATAAAGCTTTTCTCGTGTAATTTTCGCTACATTTTTCGTACTTGTAATTCATATTTATGGCAATATGGCTACCTGCCGCCATCCTTGATTTTGAACTGCTGACCAGATAAACGGTAACCAGTCAACAGCATGTTACCAACCACCCTAAGGAAATAACTGTCACCCTTATGACGCTCCCATCGTTGAAAGTGCGGAAACGCTGTATGATATTGTGTGGGATCAAACCCAGCTAGTCCGTTTCAAAAATCAAGAGCTCCATCAGACTACCAATCCGCACCTTATAAACGTTTTCTAACCGATTTCAAAAAATTTTGAATCCAAATTGCTGCCTATACGTTTATCAAGTTACAATAAAGTACATTTAACGCTTTAATAAGTGTTCTTAATTTTCTAAAAGTAATTTACTTTTCATGACAACCATGACGCTTAAGTTTTTCTGTATCAGGGTTCAAATAATAAATAAATAATCTGTGCTCATTACCCCAAATACTGCAAAAGTACCCCCCCCCTCTCTCTCTCCCATTACAATTCACGCAAATTCATCGCAAATATCAATAGTACCAGGGAATATAATTTGATTAGTAAAACTTTAGTTGTTAGACATCAGTAGAAGAGTGTTGAAATACACCGAATTGCAGAGTCAATCTTTTTCTAATGCTTCAACAGTTAATAAAAATCGTGAATTTTATCTCAGGTTTTCCTATACGTAAATTAGATTTTATGAATCTGGTAAAATCTCAAGATTCTAAACCTGGAAAACAATATTAAAAGGTCAACACAGTTGGCGGCCTAGCATGGGTTTGTGGTTAGGACACTCGGTTTGTAATCTGCGGGTTCGAATCCGTCACTGAACATGCTCGCCCTTTCAGCTGTGGGGTTCTTTATAATTTGACGGTGAGTCCCAGTTTTGGTAAAGAGTAGCCCAAGATATAGTGGTTGGTAGTTCTTTCTAGCTACCTTCTCTTTGGTCTCTCACTTTTAAATTAGAGACAGTTAGCGCAGACAGTCCTCGAGTAGCTTTGCGCTAAATTCAATAAACGAACAAACAAATAAAGTCTTCAAACTAACTGCTAGTTATCTAAAGCTAGATCTAAAAGCTCAAGATTCACAAAATCGTTTTTTTTTAGCACAAAGCTACACAATGGGCTATCTGTGCAGTGCCCACCACGGGTATCTAAACGCGGATTTTAGCGTTATAAGTCTTCAGGCTTAACACTGGGGTTCGCAAAATTGCCTTCCTTATTCTTGATATTCTAATTCGTTAATTATCCTAGAAATATGTGAGTTGAAACAGAATTTACAATCAATTAACCAATGGACAGTTGCCACGTGTTTCACCTTTATACGCTGAAAAATATATCAAACTACAATATCACACCGAAGATATCTTTATAGTTGGCTTTCTGTTGTTAATAGAAGGAAGTAAACTCAATATTGTTGTTTTTATTACTGTTTCTTTAAGAAACAGAGAAGGCCTTCTGAAGCAAAAACGCAGCGGTATGTCTGCGAACTTACAACGCTAGAAACTGGTTTTCGATACCCATTGTGTAGCTTTGTGCTTAACTTTAAACAGCATCAAATATCAACTGAAGAAAAGCTAAATTCTATCTAGTACTCTTTTGGAGAGTAAATATTATAGTCAGTACTATAAGCTATTTTGGCCCCCATTGGCATAGTGGTATATCTACGGATTTACAACGCTAGAAACAGGGTTTGGATACCAGTGGTGGGCACAGCACACATGGCCCATTTTGTAGCTTTGTGCTCAACTACAAACCAACAAAGAATCTAAGTTATTTTGTACAAATAGCTTACAAGTTTCCTGCGGGTGTCGTACTGTGGGTCTAATGTTCAATGGTTCGTGCCTCGTTACTGCCAAAAATAAAAAAAAATCGTGCAACACACTTTAGGGCTGTGGGTGTGTTATAAGAGTGACGATCAGCTCCCACTATTCGGTCTGACAAGAGTAGCCCGAGTAGTTGGTGTTAACTAGCTGCCTACCATGTAATGTATAACTTACAAATTAGCTAGTGCAAACAATTTTCCTGAAATCAAATATAGACATTCCAAAGAAGTTTGTAATCGGAGTTTGTAATTTTATGTGCCATCTGGATACGTCATTCATGTATATAATAAATGTAAGAGTGTTTAGCGCAGGTATTAAGTATTTTATGTGCTTTCTGGATACGTCATTTACGTATATAATAAATGTAAGAGTGTTTAGCGCAGGTATTAAGTATTTTTATGTGCTTTCTGGATACGTCATTTACGTATATAATAAATGTAAGAGTGTT